AAGGAAAATTATGTGGATATATTGAAGCAACATCTCAAGACATCAGTCAGGATGTTAAAGCTTGGTCGCAAATGGGTCTTCCAAATGGACAATGACCCCAAGCATACTTTCAAAGTTGTGGCAAAATGGCTTAAGGACAACAAAGTCAAGGTATTGGAGTGGCCATCACAAAACCCTGACCTCAATCCTATAGAACATTTATGGGCAGAACTGAAAAAGCGTGTGCGAGCAAGGAGGCCTACAAACCTGACTCAGTTACACCAGCTCTGTCAGGAGGAATGCGCCAAAATTCACTCAACTTATTGTGGGAAGCTTGTGGAAGGCTATCCGAAACGTTTGACCCAAGTTAAACAATTTAAAGGCAATGCTACCAAATGCTAATTGAGTGTATGTAAACTTCTGACCCACTGGGAATGTGATGAAAGACATAAAAGCTTAAATAAATAATTCTCTCTACTATTATTCTGACATTTCACATTGTGGTCCTCTGTAGCTCAGCTGGTAGAGCATGGCGCTTGTAACGCCAACGTAGTGGGTTCGATCCCCGGGACCACCCATACACAAAAAAAAAATAATGTATGCACGCATGACTGTAAGTCGCTTTGGATAAAAGCGTCTGCTAAATGGCATATTATTATTATTATAAAATAAAGTGGTGATCTTAACTGACCTAAGAAAACCGTACGACAGACCACGTATTCACCCTACACACCCTAATTGACAAACAAACAAAACAAAACAAAAGCAAAGTCTTCTCATGCTTTGTTGATTTTAAAAAGGTTTTTGACTCAATTTGGAATGAGGGTCTGCTATATAAATAGATGGAAAGCGATGTTGGGGGAAAACATACAACATTATAAAATCCATGTACACAAACAACAAGTTTGCGGTTAAAATTGGAAAAAAACACACCAATTTATTTCCTCAGGGTTGTGGGGTGAGACAGGGATGCAGCTTGAGCCCCACTCTCTTCAACATACACTACCAGTCAAAAGTTTGGACACACCTGCTCATTCAAGGGTTTTTCTTAATTTTTTTACTATTTCCTACATTGTAGAATAATAGTGAAGACATCAAAACTATGAAATAACACATATGGAATCATGTAGTAACCAAAAAATTGTTAAACAAATCAAAATATATTTTATATGTTAGATTCTTCAAAGTTGTCACCCTTTGCCTTGATGACAGATTTGCACACTCTTGGCATTCTCTCAATCAGCTTCATGAGGAATGCTTTTCCAACAGTCTTGAAGGAGTTCCCACATATGCTGAGCACCTGTTGGCTGCTTTTCCTTCTCTCTGCGGTCCAACTCATCCTAAACCATCTCAATTGGGTTGAGGTCGGGTGATTGTGGAGGCCAGGACATCTGATGCAACACTCCATCACTCTCCTTCTTGGTCAAATAGCCCTTACACAGCCTGGAGGTGTGTTTTGGGTCATTGTCCTGTTGAAAAACAAATCATAGTCCCACTAAGAACCAGATGGGATGGCGTATCGCTGCAGAATGCTGTGGTAGCCATGCTGGTTAAGTGTGTCTTGAATTCTAAATCAATCACCGTCAGTGTCACCAGCAATACACCCCCACACCATCACACCTCCTCCTCCATGCTTCACGGTGGGAACCACACATGCAGAGATCATCCGTTCACCTACTCTGCGTCTCACAAAGACATGGCGGTTGGAACAGAACATCTCAAATTTGGACTCATCACACCAAAGGACAGATTTCCACCGGTCTATTGTCCATTGCTCGTGTTTCTTGGCACAAGCAAGTCTCTTCTTCTTTAGTAGTGGTTTCTTTGCAGCAATCGACCATGAAGGCGTGATTCACGCAGTCTCCTCTGAACAGTTGATGTTGAGATGTGTCTGTTACTTGAACTCTGTGAAGCATTTATTTGGGCTACAATCTGAGGTGCAGTTAACATAATGAATGTAACTCTGGGTCTTCCTTTCCTGTGGCGGTCCTCATGAGAGCCAGTTTCCTCATAGTGCTTGATGGTTTTTGCAACTGCACTTGAAACTTTCAAAGTTCTTGAAATTTTCTGGATTGCCTGACCTTCATGTCTTAATGTAATGATGGACTGTTGTTTCTCTTTGCATATTTGAGCTGTTCTTGCCATAATATGGACTTTGTTTTTTACCAAATAGGGCTATCTTCTGTATACCACGCCCTACCTTGTCACAACAAAACTGATTGGCTCAAACGCATTAAGAAGGAAACAAATTCCACAAATTAACTTTTAACAAGGCACACCTGTTAATTGAAATGCATTCCAGGTGACTACCTCATGAAGCTGGTTGAGAGAATGCCAAGAGTGTGCAAAGCTGTCATCAAGGCAAAGGGTGGCTAGAATCTCAAATATATTTTGATTTGTTTAAAACTTTTTTGCTTACTACATGATTCCATATGTGTTATTTCATAGTTTTGATGTCTTCACTATTATTCTACAATGTAGAAAATAGTAAAAATAAAGAAAACCCCTTGAATGAGTAGGTGTGTCCAAACTTTTGACTGGTTCTGTATATATATCAACGAATTGGCAAGGGCACTAGAACAGTCTGCAGCACCCGGCCTCACCCTACTACTACTAGAATCTGAAGTCAAATGTCTACTGTTTGCTGATGATCTGGTGTTTCTGTCCCCAACCAAGGAGGGCCTACAGCAGCACCTAAATCTTCTGCACAGATTTTGCCAGACCTGGGCCCTGACAGTGAATCTCAGTAAGACAAAAATAATGGTGTTCCAAAAAAGGTCCAGTTGCCAGGACCACAAATAGAAATTCCATCTAGACACCATTGCCCTAGAGCAGGGTTTTCCAAACTCAGTCTTGTCCCCCCCAAACTCAATCTTATCCCAGCACTACAGCTGATTCAAATAATTAAAGCTTGATGATGAGTTGGTTATTTAAATCAGCTGTGTAGTGCTAGGTTGAAAACCAAAATGTGCACCTAGTGGAGGGCCCAGGACCGAGTTTGGGTAAACCTACCCTAGAGCACACAAAAAACGATACATACTTCGGCCTAAACATCAGCACCACAGGTAACTTCCATAAATATGTGGAAGGGCTTTCTACACCAGTAAAGGGAACATCAAATTCGACATCCCAATTCGGATCTGACAAAAAATACTTTAATCAGTTATAGAACCCATTGCCCTCTACGCTTGTGAGGGCTGGGCTCCGCTCACCAACCAAGAATCAGTGGTGTAAAGTGCTTAAGTAAAAATACTTTAAAGTACTTCTTAAGTCGTTTTTTGGGGTATCTGTACTTTACTTTACTATTTATATATTTTTTACAACTTTTACTTCACTACATTCCTATAGAAAATAATGTACTTTTTACTCCATACATTTTCCCTGACACCCAAAAGTACTCGTTACATTTTGACAGGAAAATAGTCCAATTCACGCACTTGTCAAGAGAACATCCCTGGTCATCCCTACTGAGTGTTGGAGTGTGCTCCTGGCTATCCGTAAATAAATAAAAAACACGAAAATTGTGCCGTCTGGTTTGCATAATATAAGGAATTTGAAATCATTAATACTTTTACTTTTGATACTTAAGTATGTTTTAACAATTACATTTACTTTTGATACTTAAGTATATTTAAAACCAAATACTTTTAGACTTGTGGTGATTTTCACTTTTACTTGAGTCATTTTCTATTAAGGTCTAATCTTTAATTTTACTCAAGTATGACATTTGAGTACTTTTTCCACCACTGCCAAGAATTCACAAAATGGGACAAACACCAAATTGAGACTATGCAATGAGAATTCTGCAAAAAGATCCTCCTTGTACAATGTAAAACACCCAATAATGCAAGCAGAGCATAACAAAGCCATCACTTACAGAGAGGTGAACCTAGAGAAAAGTCCCTTCAGAAAGTTAGTCCAGGACAGCTACACAATTAGACCCAACCAAATCATGACAAAACGAAAAGATAATTACTTGACACATTGGAAAGAACTAACCAAAAAACAAAGCAAACTGGAATGCTATTTGGCCCTAAAGAGAATTACACAGTGGCAGAATACCTGAACCACTGTGACTGACCCAAAATTAAGGAAAGCTTTGACTATGTACAGACTCAGTGAGCATAGCCTTGCTATTAAGAGGCCGCTATGTGCCCACTGCCCACAAAATGAGGTGGAAACTGAGCTGCACTTCCTAACCTCTTGCCAAATGTATGACCATATTAGAGACACATATTTCCCTCAGATTACACAGACCCACAAAGAATTAAAAAACAAATCCAATTTTGATAAACTCCCATATCTGTTAGGTGAAATACCACAATGTGCCATCACAGCAGCAATACTTGTGACCTGTTGCCACAAGAAAAGGACAACCAGTGAAGAACAAACACCATTGTAAATATAACCTATATTTATGTTTATTTATTTTCCCTTTTGTACTTCAACTATTTGCACATCGTTACAACACTGCACATAGCAATAATATAACCTGTAAAATGTTTATATTATTTTGAAAGTTTTGTGAGTGTAATGTTTACTGTTAATTTCTGGTTGTTAATTTAACTTTGGTTTATTATCTATTCCGCTTGCTTTGGCAATGTAAACATGTTTCCCATGGCAATAAAGTCCTTTGAATTGAATTGAGAGAGAGAGAGAGAGAGAGAGAGAGCGAGGATGGGATGGCTCCTAGTAAACAGACTACCATATTCACTATAGCTATTGTTTGTAATGTTACCTATTGAAGTGTGTGCATGCGTGCGTGCGTGATGTGTATGTGTGTGTTTCCTTTTGTCGAACCCCACTCTGTGCAGATCAGAGGACACTCTTAACACAGAGATGGAAACCATTGAGCTTTGATACAGAATAAAATAGGCCTACTTCTGTGTCCCCTAGAAACATGCCATTTGATGCTAGTGCAGTCGACGGTAGGTGGTGCTATTTACATAAAACAAAAAGCACCACCACGTTTAGAATAGATAGTAGCCTATCTGCGCGGAACTACTACTCCCAGAATGCAAATGTTTGGCTTTGTTGCCGGAAAACATCCGTTCAGGATGAACACACATGAACTCCAAAGGTACAGTGCAACTACAGCGACAAAGGTGCTGCTTTAAAGACATGAATGCAGCCATTCTGGTATAAGAGAGCTGTGCATTATCACTGTTATGCCTACTTCAAAATAACGCGTAATTTTTATGTGGCTGTTGAATTTTATAGCCGCTAACGTTGAGGGCTAACTGAGTTAGCATTCCCATTAATAAGCTAAATACCATTGCTTTCTTTGTCTGCAGGGTAGGAGAGGGAGATGCGGAGAAGCACAACATGTGTTCACTCACACTGGGTCCGGTGGTCGATGTTGTACGGTTCCACGGTAGCCTCCCGTTTTCTGCACGTGGAGTTGGAGCTGAACGTTCAGCTTCGCCGGCTGTCGTTTAGTGAGCACGTGCACTTCATCTACAATCCGCTGGAGCATGCCTGGGAACTGCACCGCTGCTTCGTTGAGATGTACTGTCGCTGCGGACAGACGATTCTCTTTGGCTGTCTACCGCGTCTGTCTGATGAACCCGGGACCCTTCGGCATGGCTCAGACCTGGGTAAGGATGTGCAGGCAGGTCAACGAGATAGAGCAACAACTTGTTACATTGTTAGCCTAGTTCTTCCATTCAAGGCCCCTCTACTCTGCACTCTTTCCCAGGTCGTTGCTGTATGTGGCAAAAGGTAAATAGTAGCCTCTTAGAGTTTTTGGTTGATAGAGGATAATATAAACTCTTATCATGTGTGAATACTGGGACTTCTCATCTTCACCATTGCAGAATGGAAAGGTCTGGAATATGGATGAAAATGATATTAAAGGGTACACATAAAGAATGTGTAATGTTGTCCGCTCTGTTTGAATCTGATCAAATTCACGGCAAAATAGTATTGTATTATTATCCACCTAATCATCAGTCCTCTGCTCTCAGGTCCCCATTGGTGATGTGAACCATGTCCGTGACTGGCTGAAGATCACTGGGGAGGTGGGACATCCCCCTTCGGAGCACCCAAAGAGACTAATCAAAGTCATGGCCTGCATTCACAGCGGAGTGAGCGTCACACATTTCTGGGGCTTCTTCCGCAAGCTGTGTGGTGAGCCAGCTGTATTATTCCGCCATTACTTTGTACACAACCTGTGCCCATAAGTGTTCAAGGGTACCACCGGTAAGAACCTGATGCCCCCCGAGCTGGTCATTGGGGAACGTGAGGCCCTCTTGGCTCTCTGTGACATAGCACTGTGCCAGGCCGTGGCTGCCTTGGGCGTCAACATGGTTATTGGGGGTGGCAGAGCAGCGAGCATGGCAAGCCCTCTCTGCAGCGGGCATGGAGGTACGGGTGGAGAGCATCATGCACCCCTCCGCTGGGAGGCGGTGGCCAAGGCCAAGCTGGAGAACCTGGGGGTCCTATCCCTACTGAGCACAAAATCTCTAGTCAAGCAGCCTCCATGAACAATGCAGTTTGCTGGTCTGGGGGTAAAAGTTGCCCGCTGGCACAGATCTAGGGTCAGCATACCCTGCTCAACCATAGCAATTAAGGGGAACAACACAACACTGACCTTGGATCAGCATCTAGGGGCTATGTCTGTTTGGATCACTATCCTCCACTGTACCTTAATACTTGGACACTCTCACATTGTGCTTACAAATTGTTCAATGACTCATCACTCTGTTGTAACATTGCTGTCAGATGGTGTTGTCCTGCCTCTGCTCTTCCAGGCCCTCTCACACAGCAGTTCCCTGTTGAGCAGCATTTCCCCCAGAGCTCTCATGTTTATAGGCCATGTGGAGGCATACTGCATCACAATGACTCTTCTCAGATGCTGTTATATCCATTGCAGAGAAGATAAATTATATCTGTATTTACCTCACTGTGGTGTGTACTGTGTACTGCCTCACAGCATGTAGACAGCTGCCCCGTCTCTGACCTTTGTGAGGACATTCTGTAGCATATTACCTGGAAGCAATTAGGCTACACCCAGACTGTAATGGAGACATTTTACGTTTTTTATTTATTTATTGGTATCTCATTGGTACAGTGCATTCGGAAAGTATTCAGATACCTTCCCTTTTCCACATTATTTTTTACGTTACAGCCTTATTCTAAAATGTTACAGCCTTATTCCCCTCATCAATCTACACACAATACCCCATAATGACAAAGCGAAAAAAAACAGGTTTTTATATTTTTTTTCAAATGTATTAAAACTTACAAACAGAAATACCTTATTTACATAAGTATTCAGACCCTTTGCTATGAGACTCAAAATTAAGCTCAGGTGCATCCTGTTTCCATTGATCATCATTGAGATGTTTCTACAACTTGATTGGAGTCCAACTGTGGTAAATTCAATTGTTTGAAATGATTATGAAAGGCACACACTTGTCTATATAAGGTCCCACAGTTGACAGTGCATGTCAGAGCACAAACCAAGCCATGAGGTCGAAGGAATTGTCCGTAGAGCTCCGAGACAGGATTGCGTCAAGGCACAGATCTGGGGAAGGGTACCAAAAAATGTCTGCAGGGTAGATGGTCCCCATGAACACAGTGGCCTCCATCATTCTTAAATGGAAGAAGTTTGGAACCACCAAGACTTCCTAGAGCCGGCCAAACTGAGCAATCAGAGGAGAAGTGCCTTGGTCAGGGAGGTGACCAAGAACCCGATGGTCACTCTGACAGAGCTCCAGAGTTATTCTGTGGAGATAGGAGAACCTTCTAGAAGGACAACCATCTCCAATCAGACCTTTATGGTAGAGTGGCCAGACGGAAGCCACTCCTCAGTAAAAGGCACATGACAGCCCGCTTGGAGTTTGCCAAAAGGCACCTAAAGGACTCTCAGACCATAAGATGAAACCAAGATTGAACTCTTTGGCCTGAATGCCAAGCGTCACGTCTGGAGGAAACCTGGCACCATCCCTACGGTGAAGCATGGTGGTGGCAGCATCATGCTGTGGGGATGTTTTTCAGCAGCAGGGACTAAGAGACTAGTCAGTATCGAGGGAAAGATGAACAGCGCAAAGTACAGAGAGATCCTTGATGAAAACCTGCTCGTGAGCGCTCAGGACCTCAGACTGGGGCGAAGGTTCACCTTCCGACAGGACAATAACCCTAAGTACACAGCCAAGACAATGCAGGAGTGGCTTCGGGACAAGTCTCTGAATGCCCTTGAGTGGCCCAGCAAGAGCGAGGACTTTAACCCGATCTAACATCTATGGAGAGACCTGAAAATAGCTGTGCAGCAACGCTCCCCATCCAACCTGACAGAGCTTTAGAGGATCTGCAGAGAAGAATGGGGGAAACTCCCCAAATATAGGTGTGCCAAGCTTGTAGCGTCATACCCAAGAAGACTCAAGGCTGTAATCGCTGCCAAAGGTGCTTCAACAAAGTACTGAGTAAAGTGTCTGAATACTTAAGTAAATGTGATATTTCAGGTTTTTATTTTTAATAAATGTGCAAAAATTACAAAAAAACTGTTTTTGCTTTATCATTATATGATATTGTGTGTAGATTGATGAGGGGAAAAAACAATTTCAACCATTTTAGAATAAGGCTGTAATGTAACAAAATGTGGAAAAATCAAGGGGTCTGAATACTTTCCGAATGCACGATGACATGATGATTGATTTTCAGAATTACAGTATACTGTATACAGGTTTAGTAGGAGCTTATTATAGGGTCTCTGTTGCTACCTGGCTAGTGATGTAATTGAACAGTTAGTCTGAAAATACGTTTATACCGGTTTTAAAGTTAGGTTTAAGTTAAGGAAACAATGTGTTGTAATTTGTAAACAAGCAAACTTAAAGAAGTCATGTGGCGGTAATAATTTTCTCTCTGTTTCCGACAGTGTGTCAGATCTGGCTAAGAAATACCTCACTACATATTCCAGGTAAACGTAGTTTGTCAGTCACACCTCCTAATGAGATTTCTATTCCCTCACCCAGTCTCGACCAGTAGAGCTTGTTACCAATAATGACCCCCTATTACACAGAGTCATGATGTAGCCCAGTGGTTCCCAAACTGTGTGGCGCGATCCGAGTGAAAACGTTTGGGAACCACTGATATAGCCTAAAGCTAATGACAACTTACTCTCAATTTAAACCAGGGTCCTGCTTGTGGTCATTATGGTAGTCCTTTTTGTTTCCCACTCAACAGTGGTTTGCAAATTGGGAGTGAATGTAGACTAGTTTCCGTTTGTGGCCTTTGTAACAACATTGCAATAGCAATGTTTCTCTTTTGACCAGTTCAGTACATGTTCAAGCCAACGATTGACCTTTGCTGATGCTGTATGTATGGGGATGCCCTGTCCTTACCTTTGTTACATCTGGGAAGGACTTCTGCAGTCTCTTCCTCTGTTGGCATCCTACCATTACTACTAAGAAAATGTCTGGCTGTCAAGGTCCTACTGTATACCCACACTAGTGCATAGTACGTATAAAGCCCTCTCTATAACGTATGTCCCATTAGGTCATGCATGAATAAGAATAAGCCCTTGTTGATGACATAAAACGCACTCAAATGTTCTTGCACCATGTTGTTATACCACTCAGTTCTGCAGGAGGTTAAGCTTGTAATGGAAAAGGGGTCCTCCTTGCAGGTTCCTCTCCAATGATGCTTCCTCCCTTACACACCATTTTGAACAACTCAAACAAAATGCCACATATCAGGTGATCAAGTGTGTGTGTGTGTGTGTGTGTGTGTGTGCCACTCTCCATAAGTATGTGTGTGAACCTAAATCAGGTGGTCCCTTAATAAGAATGATCTTTTTAGATATTCATGGAATTCATCTTATACTATGGCGTTGTAATGTACTTTAGTGTGTACTTGAAGTTAGTGTTTTGTTTTAAATATTTTTGTCTTGTCCCTGTTCCTCTTTTGACTCCAATCTCAATGTCTCCCAGTCACCAGGAGTTAGCAGGTAGAGAGGGCTCCTGCAGTTCTGTGGTGTGATGTTGTTTGTCTTGATCCTGGATAATGAGTACATCATACACACACCAGTGGCGGGCCTCTCCACCGCAGGGTGCAGGTGTGTGAGAGAGAGGAAAGGGGCTGCCATCTTAACTGAGTTGGTCTGGATGACTTGTCTGTCTGGGGAGGGCTTAATGAGGCGGGACGAGGTGTCTGTACAATGGCCATTATTTCTCTCTCACACACAAACTCTATCTTTCTCACTCTCTGCCTTCAAAGCACCTGCACTCACACATGCAAAGTCACATGCATTCAAATGCAGGCACTCTATCTGAACTCTCGTCTCTGCCGTGACACATGTAGTCATGCATGTGTGCATTGAGAGTCACACACTTTCCTTCTCACGTCCTCCCTCCCCCCTGCTATCTCATTCACACACACACTTTCATATAATACAATCGCAAACATGCACACAAGCTCCCTTGCATTCTTTATCTCTCTCAAACACACAAGCACACACACAAGAAACACACAGTGGCGCAACACCACGGGGCTAAGAGAGCACAGCCGCAGCTCCCTAATGACTCCCATCCCTCTCTGTTCTGTGCCACATTATTAATTAGCTCAATGAGCCTTGCCAACGGGACGCGGATCTGTGGATTAAAGTCCTGCAGTACATCACAAACACACACATGCACTCCACAGTAAGCACCCCCCTGTGTGCTGTGGTATGGGCCCTGGCTGTGGGTTTGGCTGAAGTCCAAGCTGTGCTGCAGAGAGAAAACGGCCTGGCAAGATGGTGGCTGACAAAAGAGGGGTTTGTTTTATACCGCAGTATTCCATACATCTGTTTTGACACACAAATGTTACTCATACAGGTAACTGCCACAGTAATGGAAACACTTGAGTAAATGAGGGATACAAAGTATATTGAAAGCAGGTGCTTCCACACAGGTGTGGTTACTGAGTTAAGTAAGCAATTAACATCCCATCATGCTTAGGGTCATGTATAAAAACGCTGGTCAGGCCATTATTTTGGCTACCTTGGCTATGCCCCCATAGGATGACAATGCCCCATCCACAGGGCACGAGTGGTCACTGAATGGTTTGATGAGCATGAAAACGATGTAAACCATATGCCATGGCCTTCTCAGTCACCAGATCTCAACCCAATTGAACACTTATGGGAGATTCTGGAGTGGCGCCTGAGACACCGTTTTCCACCACCATCAACAAAACACCAAATTACGGAATTTCTCATGGAAGAATGGTGCCGCATCCCTCCAATAGAGTTCCAGACACTTGTAGAACTTATGCCAAGGTGTTTAGAAGCTATTCTGGTTTGTGGTGGCCCAACGCCCTATTAAGTTACTTTGTTGGTGTTTCCTTCATTTTGGCAGTTACCTATAGGTAAGACATGCATATAGATACATTCAGCATTATGGTAAATGAGGGAAGAAAATAACTCCTCAAGATGGTCCAGTCTGATGCTTTAATTGATGCTGTTGTTTCTCAAGTGTGTCATTTTCCATTTCGAGACTGATCCTTTCAACATCGTGTGTTTGACTTGGTATTTGTGGCTTGCTTGTTGCTTTTCAAACAAGACAGTTCTCTTGACTCATGATGTATGAGTGTTTGTATGTGCCCACATGAAAAAATACTATAGTATACTATGGTATAAATACTACAGTACTCACTGTAGTGTTGTTGCAGACTTTACTGTAGTATTCACTGTACTATTTACAGATAACTATAGTATAAATACTGTAGTAAAAGAAAACTGTAGTATATACTATAGTAATTAGTATTTTTATGGATTCTAGTATACTGTAGTATTTACAGTAGTGTTTTGCGGACTGTAGTGTACAGTAGTATTTACTGTAGTGTTTTTGTGGACTAATAGAGAGGTGAGGAGGAGGAGCTCCGCGGACCCTTTGTGTCCAGAAGTAACTTAGCCATTCATTGTAGTCATTCTTTAGTTTTCTGTCAATTAACTCGTGACATTTCTGGATTACTCATTATATTAATAAAGTCTGATTTAATCAACAAATACGATAGTCAGTTTAAAAAAGGTTAAGGGTACAAGACTGTGTACATATCTGTCTGTGTTGGCAAAATCACTACATATCCCATCGAGCCAAGCAGGGAGAGGCTGCCTGTTGTCACAGTTCCAAGACCAGTCAGAAATGTCCAGCTAACCCTACGCCAATGATGCTGGTGGATCTCAAAACTGAACTTGGATCCGCGTTAAGTAGCACTGAGGAAGTTCGATTAGACTGAACCAGGGTATATCGTGCTATGGCCCATCACGTCGCCGGGCAAAAGTGGTGAGGAAGGAACGCCCGGCTCAAATCGAGCATCACCGGGCCATAATGTCAACAAAACAGCATGATGAATCGTTCAGAAACATAAAACATGTATTTTCTACATTATCATAGCAGTTTTCCTGTGGAAGGCAGGTAAAGCGATATATATGTGTTTTTATGAGTTAACACTTTTGCATGTGAAAACATTGAATCCTCCACGTGCTTGACATATATCACTTTTGTTTTCAGCCGACTACGCTGTCGGCTTTGACCGGGGCACCCTGCTCACCACCGGGAGGCAGCCCGGTTTCAAAACAAATGCAATCAATGCTAACCCCGTTCACCCGGGGCAGGCCCAGGGCATTAATAGAATCCCCTCAATGATATTCTTTGCCACCGTCGTCTTACATTTACATTTTAGTCATTTAGCAGACGCTCTTATCCAGAGCGACTTACAGTTAGTGAGTGCATACATTATTCTTTTTTAAAAATATATATATATTTATAACTGGCCCCCTGTGGGAATTGAACCCACAACCCTGGCATTGCAAACGCCATGCTCTACCAACTGAGCTACATCCCTGCCAGCCATTCCCTCCCCTACCAATTGTGCGCCGCCCCATGGGTCTCCCGGTCGTGGCCGGCTACGACAGAGCCTGGATTCGAACCAGGATCTCTAGTGGCACAGCTAGCACTGCAATACAGTGCCTTAGACCACTGCGCCACTCAGGAGACAGATATCTCGAACCAGTCATGACTATTCAACAAAACGTAACGTTATGACTATAACTACTGTTCCCTGAAGGAGGGAACAAGGTACGACATACTATGGGGAGTCGCACTCTCGTGACTTCGGTTGAAGGATCTACAATCAAGCCTGACAAGGCCAATGAAATCCGCGCCTCGCTGGAAGCCCCGCCTTCCACAGGTGATAAGCATGAGGCTTGGAATCATTCCTCCAATTTAATACCGCTCTTCACCCAGCCCAGGAACGGGCGGTGCGGGGCCAAACAGGTGTTGTACCTCGTTTCCCTCCTTTAGGGAACAGTAGTTATAGTCATAACGTTATGTTCCCTTTCAGTCAGTCAACTTCGGTACAACATACTATGGTGAATATAATCACGCCCCAAGCCGACCCCAACAGATACTAAATGAAATGGCCCATGGCAGACCACCCAGACCTGACCCCGCCAGATGCGGCAGTCTGGGTGTTGCGCACACAATGCGCTTCCTAGGGACTTTCCTCTGTCGCAGCCGTAAGCACACTGTGTGCTATACTGGGAGCAGTGACATCCAAACGATAAAACCTCAAAAAAGTGTGTGGTGATGCCCAACTCGCCACAGCACAAATATCTCCCTTTAAACAATGCCCAAGATGCTGCCAGACCCCTGGTGGAGTGGGCCCGTACACCGCTAGGTCACCCTTGCCCCTTGCTGCTATATGCCAGGGAGATAGCCTCCACAATCCAGTGAGCGAGATACTGCTTAGAGAGCGCCCTGCCACAAGCTGGATTAGCAAAGCAGACAAAAAGTTGGTTACATAACTGGATATCCCGGGTCCGTTCAATGTAGGTGTGTAAAGCTCGCAGAGGACACAGGGCATGTAACCTCTGTTGCTCTTCAGAAGCAAAAGGAGGAGGCGAAAAGGGAAATAGATCAAAAACTAAGGACCTGTAGGACATAGCCATGACTTTCGGGTCGAAGGCTGCATTTGGACGCAACGTCACCTTAGAATCGCCCGGAGCGAACTGAGTACAGGAAGGGTGTATGGATAACGAGTGGAGGTCCCCAACACATTTAGCCGAGGCCAAAGCTCTGAGCAGGGTGGTTTGTAGGAGAGAATCTTCAGATCCACCGACTCCAGAGGCTCAAAGGGGCCACACACAGTGCCTCCAAAACCAGCGGCAAGTCCCATGTGGGCGCAATAGGTTTAGAGACCGATCTGAGATGACGTACACCTTTCAGGAACCGCACCACCAGGGGGTGAGCCAGGTTTCCGTCAATTCCCACATGACACGCTGTTGTGACAGCGGCCATGGACACTTTTAAAGTGGAGAATGCTTGAATAGCTCCTGTAGGAACATAAGGATGTCCCTGACAGAGAACTGAAAAGGAGCAAGTAATTTATCTTGGCACCAGAGCTCAAACGCTTGCCACTTACACGCATACAGCCCTCTCGTGGAGGGCACCCTTGCAGACTGAATGGTAGCAAAAACACCTGGAGGTAAACCTCTAGCCATCAGATTGGCCCTCTTAGAGGCCCATAGTAACCAAATCTCTGGCCTCGCTTGCCAAACTTGCCTATGCACCTGGGACAACAGGTTCCTTAGTTTTCACGGGTCCCAGAGTGATCTCCATGAACCAAGGCTGCCTGGACCAACGGGGAGCCACAAGAATCCATGATAAGCCCTCCCAGCGCACCCACTCCAATGTGGGCTGAATCAGACCCAGATGCGTAAAGATCTAAGTCGGCCCTGCCGAAAATGTCCCATACCTGGGAGAGCCTCCACTCCTGAGAGAGCGGGTCCCACCTGTATAAAATATCGGGGACATGCGTCGCCCAAAGCGAAAGCATGTGCGCACTGCTCCCCAGCAATACGGAGCTAGCCAAAGTTAGGAAGGAGACAGAGTCTCTCCCCATCTGTTGATGCATGCCACAACTGACGTATTGTCGGTTCTGACCAGCACAAGTCGGCCCGACAAAAATAGGGGGAAGCAACTGAGCACCAGATACTCCGGGTAATTGACATGCAGTGCACTCCGCACCAGTGTCCATACCCCCCGAATCGAGCTGCCTTCGTACAGCACACCCCACCCTTGGGGGGACGTGTCGGTGGTGATCACCTTGTGGGATACAGCTCAGCCCATGACAGCCCCCTGACAATAGCAGAGGGTCCCATCTAAGGCTGAACGATTTTGGAAAATAATCTAATTGCGATTTTTTGCCCCCAATATTGCGATTGCGATTTAATATGCGATTTAATTTATTTATCCTTTTTCCCCTACAAAACATAATGAATGATTTAAATATGACCAACACAATAGTATATACATTTAGTGTGAAATGTTCTTTCCCATAGGCTGGGTCTATTTGTTAGAATTAAATTCAAACATGTATGACTTGAAATAAATGACATTTTTATTGAACTGCTCATTACAGAAACATCTGTGGCTTTGCCACTGTGCATTTAAATAATTTAAACAAAGGCATGAACTTTGTAAACACTGTGTGCAAAAGGTACAGTCTTAAGAAAAAAATAATTTTAAATTGTATGTATCTTACTGCTCCCAAGTCAGTAACATTTCACACAACTGAAACAAGGAATTTGCTTTGAAAATATTTTGTAAAATCAAAGTAAATAAAGTTATAAATAAAAAATGAGAAATGCACTTTTAATTTAGACAAACTATTTTTTATAAACGATTTGAATATTATAATATAAAATAGATGAGCCTCACTTATCTCAAGTACACAACAATAACACACCACACAGACTAAAGTTCACTACGAGTATGGCACTGCCAGCCATACTTATCCAACAGTTCTGTTCTCAGTGGCTCACAGGTTTTTTGCTAAGAAAACCAGAATATTGACTTTTTCTGGCTTCAAGGCTGAGCGAGTGCAAGTCACAATATTCCCTCCTGTGCTAAAAAGACGCTCTGAGGGAGCGCTTGTAGCAGGTACACAAAGATACTTGCGTGCCATGGTGCACAACTGTGGGTAGCTGATCTTGTGCACCCTCCACCAAGCCAATGGATCATCTTCTCCATCAATGGTAGGAGTCATCAGGTAATTGTTTATCTCTGCCTCTGCGACATCTTCAAGATTTACAGGCAAAGAAGGAGAGGCTGAACTGGTCTTGAAAAAACTGCCAAGAGACCTCTTCGTCTTTTCCCCCAAGGACTGTGCACTTTGAGGCATCTGAACAGTTTCAGTACGAGACCTCTTCTCCTATTAGATGAAAACAACAGCCATTAGTTTTCCAGTTAGATTTTACAGAAAATTTTTGTTTTTGTGAAATACATAATTATTTACCCAATGATATGTACGTTGTGCCAAGTCTACTATCTCTGTCTTCAGACGAGTCTTGATAGCAGGGATGTTGTCTGTACTGATGTACTGTATTTTGAACCTAGGGTCCAGGAAACAGGCAACATCCAAAAGCTCCTGGATGTTTGGGTCTCCATATTTGTTATTGAGGTATGCTAGGACTTTGGTTTTTATTGATTTAGTCAGGTCAGTGTCCTCAGCATCTTCAGCCAGGACTGATGTGGCAAAAAGGTGGAGAACTGGCTTGAGGTAGGAGATGCTTACATACTCCTCTCCAGAAAGAGCATCAGTAAACTCCAGTAGAGGATGCAGTGCCTTGTGAATCGACTCCAACACGTCAATATCCTGCCAGGTTGGGATAAGGGAGCGTGCATATCGATCTCCAGACAATACCTGAGAAATGGCTTTGGCCTGTTCAAGCACTCTGGCAATCATCATTTCTTTAGAACCCCATCTTGTTGGGCACTCCGTTATGAGGTTGTGCTCAGGGAGTTTGAGCTCTCTCTGTGCCTCCGTCAGGGCTGCTTTCTTCTTCCAACTGTGGGAAAAGTGCCCCACCAGCTTCCTGCACAGTGCTGTTGCCCTTGACACTCTGTCATCTTTGAGTGCATTTTCTAAAAGAAATAAAAAGTAGTGTATTACACACAATTTGAGTTTTGATACAAGGCTCTCACTATTACACACTCAAATTAGCTGTAATTCTGAAATACACACATCCACAACACATCCTCTCTCTCTCTCTCAATTCAAAGGGTCTTTATTTGCATGTCAATTCTCTCTCTCTTTCTCTCTCTCTCTCTCTCATAAACACTAAAAAAACATGTAAAAAACAAAAACAAGAAAAGAAAAAAAATGCAGGTGGGCATTCCACCACAGACAGACATATGATATAAGCAAGTAAAATGAATTTACATATTAGAAAAGGAGTGGAAGTATGAATTTATTTAATCCCATCCGATTTATATAATATCATTTATATATATTTGTATATTCAGCTTTACTAATCGACGCATCTCTCTCTCTCGCACTCGCGCACACACACACACACACACACACACAAACACACACACACACACACACACACACACACACACACACACACACGATAACTTACCAATGGCAAGATGTAATCTGTGGCCAAAACATTGGAGCCTCGTCCATTCATTAAGCCGCGCAGCAAGCACCATATTCGACGCGTTGTCCGTCGTGATGCAGACGTGATTCTCCTCGTGGAGATCCCAGCTGACAAGCCCTTCTCTCAGGCCGGCTGCAATATTTTCCCCTGTGTGATCGTCTGGGAAGTAGGTAGTTTGTAGGCAGCGAGCTCGGAGGTTGAAATCTTCATCAATAAAATGGACTGTAAGACTCTGGTACGGCTCAGCTGTGCGGCTTGACCACATATCAGTAGTGCTAGCAAAAAACTCCACCGTTTTAAGTTCCGCGGCGACTTTCTCTTTGCACTTTTTGTACAGCTCCGGTATGGCAGTCTGACTGAAGTATGTGCGGGAGGGTATACTGTAACGTTTATCAAGCGTATGTATTAATGCCATGAACCCAGGCTTGGTCACCGTGCTGAGAGGCATCATATCTTTGGCTATGAACTCGGTTATTGTCCGAGTGATTTCTCCGTGCCGTTTTGAATTACGTTCATACGGAGTGACACTTTCGAACATTTCTGTCAGTGATCCCTGTCTTGAGGTATTTGGCTTGTCTCGCGCACTGATGCTCGGCATTTTGGTCATACAACTGTCATGCATTGATTTGTGGTATTTTTTTAAGTGCTGAAACAGGTTTGTAGTGTTACCCCGTGAAGTAGCAATCGGAGCACGGCATGCTCTGCACAACACCTGACGCTGCTCAGCATCTTCTTTTTTAAAACCAAAATAGTTCCACACCACCGACGTGCTGTTCCTCTTCGATATTAAAGTATCAGCTGTGTCAGTTTCTGACTGTTCCGTCGAGCAAGAGGCCATTGCGCTGGACAGCATGAAAAGTCGCGTCACGTGACCACCTCAAATCGCGCACGTTGCGATTAGAAAATCGCGTTCAGTCAAATCGCGATATTATCGCGAATGCAATTAATCGTTCAGCCCTAGTCCCATCACTGGGCCATGGCCCGTAGGCCTGACAGGGACACCCGAAGCGTCCAGATGAGTGGCTAACATTCAGCGTTGGAAGGGCCGTATCAACAATAGCCCCACAGGAATGACTTCCATTACAGAAGCCATCATCCCCAGTAGGCATTGGCACTGGTGAAAATGCATTGGGTGACCCAGATGAAATTTGGCTAAGCAGTGTCGGATCCCGGACACCCTCCGTGGGGATAGAAAAGCGTGAAACGCAAGTGAGTCTAGCTCGAGACCCAGAAACAGAATGCAGCTCTTTCTCTGGTTTCTTATGAAGCCTAGAGACTGAATACGGGACAGTAGCATGGATGTGTGTAACACTGCTTGCCCCCTCGACTCTGCCGCAACCAGCCATTCGCTGTAATAGCCAGTGGCTCTTGAGCATTCTGAGTTTGTAGACTCTGAGGTGCTTGCTGAAGGCACGAAGGTCTAGAATGGGACGCAAAGTCCCATCACTTTTCGTAACCAGGAATACCGGCTGTGCCAGCAGTCCCAGATCTTTGACATAGGAACCACTTGGATTTCCTGCTTCTGGCGACTCCCCATAGTATGTTGTACCGAAGTTGACTGACTGAAAGGAAACAAGAAAACAATACATAACGTTCAAGTTTCTTTCCAGCAAATTTCTTACTTACATGATTGTATAACTAGCAAAGAAGTTTTGAAGATGAGAGTGCAGTATTTATGAAGTTTGGCAATGAGGACGAAAACTAACATATTTCAGCTAGCCAGCTAGTTTAGCCAGGGAAAACGAGCTTGGGCCTAGTATGTGCACACTAGGCTAATTCAGGAGACAGATTGTCGTTTTTATGCCCTGATATCAGGAGCTGGCGGCGAAAAGTTTGATTAAACAATTCAGATACTGAAACTAATAAATCAGATGACTTATATTTAAGGAGAGCAAATCGATATACAATCCTGAAATCAGCTGTAACTGTCAATAGTAAAACAAAGCTTAAAACGATGTTTGAGTGAACCCTGAATACAGAAAATGAATGATGAGGTTACTTTCAGACATGGTAGACTCCTCTTCCTCACCACTCTATATACTGTAGTATTTACTATAGTTTTTTTGTTTTATTATCTTTGACAAACAAGTGGAGCCTTTCTACTTTAGGAAATCTAATGTAGAAAGACAAAGAGAACAGAGTTTTTATAACTTGTTGGCAGGACTGAACAGATAGTTCAGCACTTCTGCTCTTTTCTATAATCTTAATGGAACACAATATATGGTCTATACTTGGCATGTAGGTTTCTCACTTATGGGTGGCACAAATTGGGATATGGGGGAGGGGAATGGGCGGGGTATACATGGGGCGGCGCACAATTGGCCCAGTGTCGTCCAAGGTAGGGGAGGGTTTGGCCGGCAGGGATGGCGTTTGCAATGCCAGGGTTGTGGGTTCGATTCCCATGGGGGGCCGGTATGAAAAAATAATGTATGCACTCACTAACTGTAAGTCGCTCTGGATAAGAGCGTCTGCTAAATGACTAAAATGTAAATGTATGTAAATGTAAATGTAAATGCAAATGTGATACTGTATAGTTAAAAGTGTAGTGTTTTTGTGGATAATACTGTAGTATTTACTATAGTATTCATCAGTATACTACAACATTATATAGTAAGTACATTCTATATTAAATTCTAAAATATACTACAGTTTACTACAGAATTCTATAGTAAACTGTAATATTTTTTAATGTGAGTCGTATGCGTATGTACATTTCAGCATCTTACTCACAGGAACAAAGGCACGGGGCGTACTTATTGACAGCCTGACCTGCCGGTGACCCCATGGCCGCGTGAGGAAAGGACAGGGGAGCTAGCTTTAGCCGCCTCCGCGCCGCTGCCGGCCTGTCAGAGCCATCGATACTGTGATGAATGGAGACGGCAGTTATTAAACCAGAATTAGAGCAAGGGAGGCAGGGAAGAGAGGGAGGGAGGCGGGGGAGATGGACAGGTGATAAATGAAGGGATGTGGGGTTCTGTGAGAGAGGATGAAGGAGGTGTGGGTGGAGAGGAGAGAAGGAGAGGATGGGGGATGTTGAGGGAGGTGGATGGCACAAGATCAGCATCATCACTCTTTATTATCCTCCAGGGCCGCCCGTCATACGAGGAGACTGAGGGCACGAGGGGGGCACACCTAACTGATAACCTCCACACAGTCCACACACACAGGAGGAACGGGGGCATGTAGGAGGGGTGCACATTACTGATACCCCTCCTATGGAACCTTCCGTTCTGCCCCCCTCTGCGGGGGTAGTTTCCTCCCCATACCCATCACTCCATTTGCCCTTTCACGCCAATGTTGAGATGTCTAGGGTTTATTTTGGAATATTCTGATTTTAAATGTGCAGTTTTAACCAGCCTCATATTTTTGGAAAATCTTCTAGAAAATGTCAATTAAAAAACATCCTGCTTATAAGAAAGGGATACTGTGAAATGTATTATATAGATTCTTGCAAGATGAACGTTCTCATTAAAAAAGGATTTAAGTAAAATTAGAATGTATAAGTTTAATTATCCTAAGTGTTTTGCTTATCATAAGAATTGTTGTTTTAATAAGTCTTGTGTGACTCCCATTTTTCATTTTTTTCCCGGCTGCAAAGCCCATCAATCATGGTGTGCTCTCGGAGCGTAGGACGGTGCACACACGGTACATAAGTCATACAGGCGAAGGATATTAGTCGGATCAGCAGGGGGAAAGGAACAGTGAGGGTTCACCGTGCGGTTACGACACGGACATAAATGCACACGGTCATATGGGGCATTGATTTTCCCAGGCAAATCCGTTTACCATTGGCCATTACTGTTTTCAGTGTGTCTCAAGAAAATACGAAACGAGACAGATAAATCGCCACGTTTCTGCACTGAGCACTGTACTAATCACTTCCCTTCTCCGTTTTCTTCCCCCTCCACACCCCCACTCCTCCTTTTTATTAGTGGTTTATTTATCAATGTTTTAGTTAATGTAAATGTTTTAGTTAATGTCGCTGCTAATTTCTGCCTGGGTTTGTCTTCATTACATCTCTGGAGTCATTAGGAGCAGGGAGAGAGCCGTGTGCTGCTGGGTTATGTAGAGGCACCACACTGCTTCTCACCCACTTACATGGTAATTCTCTGGCTCGGTCACGGCCTACCTCCCTCTACTAACTCAAACCACCCCAGACACTTTATCAGCTACAACTTATTTGTTTTCAAGTCTCACTCAGTTTGGCTCCTTCAGTAAATTTGGATTTTGTCTATGTTTAGGCTGAGTTGGCATGAAAAACGATTTAACTCACCACCAGACCTAAACTGTTCTCAACTGTCCACAGAGAGGCCCAGAGACTATTGGCTAATGTTAGTAGATGTACTTATGCTTAGGGTGTGTCATCATTATGAGTAGGTGAAGGCTCAGTGGAGTCTGAGCCAGTGGCTTATAGCGGACGGGATGCTTCAGTTCTCAACCATTCTCCAAGCGTTTTTTTTATTTATTTGTATTTATTTAACCTTTATTTAACTAGGCAAGTCAGTTAAGAACACATTCTTATTTACAATGACGGCCTACCAAAAGGCCTCCTGCTGGGATTAAAAATAAAAATATAGGACAAAACACACATCACGACAAGAGAGACACCACAACACTACATAAAGAGAGACCTACGACAACAACATAGCATGGCAGCAACACATGACAACACAGCATGGTAGCAACAACATGGTAGCAACACAACATGGTAGCAGCACAAAACATGGTACAAACATTATTGGGCACAGACAACAGCACAAAGGCAAGAAGGTAGAGACAACAATACATCACGTGAAACTGTCAGTAAGAGTGTCCATGATTGAGTCTTTGAATGAAGAGATGGAGATAAAACTGTCCATCCAGTTTGAGTGTTTTTTGCAGCTCATTCCAGTCGCTAGCTGCAGCGAACTGAAAAGAGGACCGTTACTGAGAGGAATAGAAGGTCTTGAATGAATGAGACGATGGGACAACTGTGTGTGTGTAAGACAGCAAGTTGAAACACATTTGATAGATGTGGCCAAAGTAAGACGTGCCACATTATAAAGGTGTATGATTACACTATACATGTGGATCTATATTGAAAAAAGCACCCTTGGTAAAAGCACACCAGCAGAGAAGAATGTATTGACTAAACATTAAGCTGACACTCTCAAAAGAAGGGGGACTTATTTAGCGGTGCGTCTGTAAAATCACTATGGAAGCCAAGCCAGAAAAAGAAGCCGTACTACAACCTATGTGTTGTGAAAATTGGGTTGTTTGCTCTATAACCTGTTAGTTCATATGCCTTGCGACCGTGATCTATAGGTCTAAGGCCGAGACAATAAGAAGACACAGTGGCAGAATAAATTCAGAGCAACCTCTGTCCGGTGAAGTCCACAAAGCACATTGCATGTAACAGTTACACGACCTACAGCATGGTGAAGCAAGTTAATATTTCCGACATTTTTGGACTACTAAACTACTATTGATTTAGAATCACAGAGTTACCGAAGTCGCAAAGAAACAGGAGCTGCCTCCACTATTTCAGCACCATTTCAACTTCAACATTTCAACATCATCTAATCACCTATGCTTAGTGTAATATAGTGACAACTAAAAGATACCAAAAACTATTTAGTCCAATCAACTTAAGCTAAATATGATGTGGTTGTCCATGGTTCTGATTTGTGTGTGTGTTCGTGCATTCGTGCAAGTAGAAAAAGCATGTTGACTCACCCTAATTGTAGCTAAACGCCAATGCCATCCTCCTCTCTTTTATTTTGACGAAATGGTCTATGACTCTGTCATACAGTGCACATTTGTATTTTTTGTTGTCCTAGGCTACCTGGCTAAAATGCTTGCTCGCTAGCCTAACTTCCTTTCATAGGCAACGTTAGCTACACAACATGACCAAAGGTATGTGGACACCTGCTCGTCGAACATCTCATTCCAAAATCATGGGCATTAATATGGAGTTGGTTCCCCCTTTGCTGCTATAACAGCCTCCACTCTTCTGGGAAGGCTTTCCACTAGATGTTGGAACATTGCTGCTGGGACTTTCTTCCATTCAGCCACAAGAGCATTAGTGAGGTCAGGCACTGACGTTGGGCGATTAGGCCTGGCTCGCAGTCGGCATTCCAATTCATCCCAAAGGTGTTTGATGAGGTTGAGGTCAGGGCTCTGTGCAGGCCAGTCAAGTTCTTCCACACCGATCTCGACAAACCATTTCTGTATGGACCTCGCTTTATGCACGGGGGCATTACATTTTACAGTTTAGTCATTTAGCAGACGCTCTTATCCAGAGCGACTTACAATTAATGAGTTCATACATTATTTTTATTTTTTTCATACTGGCCCCCTGTGGGAATCAAACCCACAACCCTGGCGTTGCAAGCGCCATGCTCTACCAACTGAGCTACACCGGGCCATTGTCATGCTGAAACAGGAAAGGGCCTTCCCCAAACTGTTGCCACAAAGTTGGAAGCACAGAATCGTCTAGAATGTCATTGTATGCTGTAGCGTTAAGATTTCCCTTCACTGGAACTAAGGGGCCTAGCCCGAACCATGAAAAACAGCCCCAGACCATTATTCCTCCTCCACCAAACTTTACAGTTGGCACTATGCATTTGGGTAGGTAGCGTTCTCCTGGCATCTGCCAAACCAGATTCGTCCATCGGACTGACAGATGGTGAAGCGTGATTCCTCATTCCAGAGAACGCGTTTCCACTGCTCCAGAATCCAATGGCGGCAAGTTTCACACCCCTCCAGCCGACGTTTGGCATTGCACATGGTGATCTTAGGCTTGTGTGCGGCTGCTCGGCCATGGAAACCCATTTCAAGAAGCTCCCGATGAACAGTTATTGTGCTTGACGTTGCTTCCAGAGGCACTTTGGAACTCGGTAGTGAGTGTTGCAACCGAGGAAAGTCGATTTTTACGAGCTATACGCTTCAGCACTTGGCGGTCCCGTTCTGTGAGCTTGTGTGACCTACCACTTCGCAGCTGAGCCGTTGTTGCTCGTAGACATTTCCACTTCACAATAAGAGCAGTTACAGTTGACCGGGGCAGCTCTTGCAGGGCAGAAATTTGATGAACTGACTTGTTGGAAAGGTGGCATCCTATGACGGTGCCACATTGAAAGTCACTGAGCTCTTCAGTAAGGCCATTCTACTGCCAATGTTTGTCTATGGAGATTGCATGTGTGCTCAATTTTATACCTGTCAGCAACGGGTGTGGGTTAAATAGCCGAATCCACTAATTTGAAGGGGTGTCCATATACTTTTGTATATATAGTGTAGTTAACAATAGCTAGCCTTCGACATCTAGCATGTTACATATTGAACTTCTATCCTCTCAGTCCAGGTGCACAATGTATGAATTTATGGTTAGATCACCGTTAAAATCATTGGCCAGTAGAGAGAATTAAGTAAAACCACAAATCCCTATCTCCATCCATGGCTAATTTAGGAAATGGACAATTTTAGCTAGCTAGCCACCAGAGGACAACAACTCAACAAGATGTAACAATTCAAGATGTTTCTGTCAATTACGTATTTATTTTGATGCAATGTGATAGGAGTGAAGCCAAATCCAAACCGGCTTCCCGTGACACTTTTTTTGGTGCGCCAGGACCATTCACAGTTGAGCTCTCTCAGTTTAGCCTTTACGCTGATTGGCTACTATTTTATACTTTTTTTAATCAAGGGAGGCCAAATGCTCGCTGGCTTTCCTTGCATTCAATGCTACGGGCAGCAATAATGTCATATTCTTTATGACCAGACAGAATCAGATAGATGGCCTACCCATACAGAGACAGAGGGGCGCTGTTTCGCTCGCTCGGATGCTTTCTCCGGTGAGATACAGTGAGGGAAAAAAGTATTTGATCCCCTGCTGATTTTGTACGTTTGCCCACTGACAAAGAAATGATCAGTCTATAATTTTAATGGTAGGTTTATTTGAACAGTGAGAGACAGAATAACAACAACAAAAATCCAGATAAACACATGTAAAAAATGTTATAAATTGATTTGCATTTTAATGAGGGAAATAACTATTTGACCCCACTGCAAAACATGACATAGTACTTGGTGGTATAACCCTTGTTGGCAATCACAGAGGTCAGACGTTTCTTGTAGTTGTCCACCAGGTTTGCGCACATCTCAGGAGGGATTTTGTCCCACTCCTCTTTGCAGATCTTCTCCAAGTCATT